GTGCACCGGTGTTAGGTATACAGTTTGTTAAAAATAACAGCGCGGCCATAGAAAAGAGGATTGCATACAGCAGATCCTTTCATTGTCTGCAGCTGAATTTAAAAGCCTGGCTTAGTTATTGGTATGTCTAAAGGTCATTCATGATAGGATCCAAGAGGAGGGATGTTGCCTGTGCCAAGTTCACTCTGTTCCCATGATAATCAGCCTCGTGTCCATGAAAGCTGGAGAGCTTCAGCAATTTCGGTTAAAGTGGAAGAGCACGTAGCTGAATGTCAGTTGCAGGGCTGGCTCCAGGTTTGAGAGAAGCCAGCAAAAGCAGAGAGGACCTGATCCCGTCTTGACAAGCCCCAGAAGGCTGCCCTGGTGACAGTAGCGGACAGCGGTGAAGCAAGCAGTGCCGGGGGCTACCATTCAAATTTCCTGGTGCCCTGGAATGCCTCTGCCTTGAGGTGTTTGCAGGAAATCACAGTGGCGTCTGGCAGTTTTAGGACTTTTCTCTGCCTATGCATGCATAGGATTGCCCCCCAAGAGACCTGCAAGCGGTCATTCACAAGGAAGTCCCCCATCTTTTGTAGGGCAGCTGCATAAGAGTGCAGCCTTAAGTACAAATCAGCAAGTCCTTCAGTTGAATTTCTCTTCTGTTGTGGACCTTTCTGTTGTGCATGGGATCCAGTCTAGCAGTCTGGGCTTCCTCAGAGAATGGCACCTCCTTTCCTAGGCTTTACGCATTCTCCAAACTGCCCATCGCTTGCTGCTTTTCTGGCTTTGCTTGTTCCATGCTCCCCACCCTCACTCCCAAAGGTTGAAATGTCTCCCTTAATGCTTACTTTCTGGCAGTAAGAGCTTTAAAGTAAAATATTCTAGGCTGCTGCTGCTATCGTCATTGTTTTTGTATTTTAGCCACACCACTTCTGCTTTTAACCTTGCAGACCAATTTGGTCCTTGGGTTGAAAGCAGTTTTGCACCCCAATCTAGAGAAACACTCAGGGCAGCTCATGAGAAAATGAAAAGAAAAGAATGGACCAACAATAGGAGCCCAGCCAAAACAACAAAATAGCCCACAAATATTTTAAACAGTTTTAGAAAGACACAGAGAGGAAGCCTCTCTTCACAGTGATTGTTAGGGAATATAGATCATCAGTTCATAGGCAGGTTGAATTTCCTGTCTAAATAAGCTCTTTGCAAGGCAAAGCAAAACCATCAGGGAGCAACAGCAATTCAAGGCACCCTGTTCATGCTCAAAAGTACTTTATTGGGTGATCTGGCTTGCTTGCTATCTTCTCCTTTACAGAGGAGTGGCGCTCAGTGGCACTCTAAGTGAACAACACTGTCTCTGTTTATGTTGACCAGATCGCCAGCAGACACACCTCTCCCTTCTTATGAAAGGGAAACCTAGAAAATGTGCTGTGCATTTAGACCTTCCAGTTGCTAATGAAATATTATGCCTTGTAAAGCATTAGCTTGTTCGCAACACCTGCTGCATTCTCTTTGGGCATGCTGACAGCAAACAAATATAGTGGATGGACCTCATGAGTTCTTTCCAAAGTTCAGATTTTCTCCCAACTTGGTTGCATTATCCTGAGTGCATAAAATACAAGGCTTGTACAGAAAAGGACAGGGCAGGGCAGCTTTCTTGCTTAGCCTTTCAGACTAGAGAAAATAGTATAAATGTGGGCATTTTTCCAAAACACTTTTGTGACCAGCTTGCCTTCTAAAACAATTGGATAAAGATGAGCTGCAGAGGATGCTGACTCACTTCAAATAGGCAAAAGAGTTATTTTTCCACCAAGCAGTAAATATTGGACTCCTGTAGACAAAAGAGAGGAACTCTGCCCAAAATAATTTCCTTCCCTGCTTTAGGGAGTGGAGCAGACCAACACAATGTAGGTTAAAGGTGTGCACAGATACTATCCGTTTTTTGAGCCTCCCATAGGAGGATGATCAATGAACGTTCTATTCCAGATCCAGCCTGGGGGAATTTCTTCTGGACTTCAGTAGAAGCTAGATAGGCAATTACTGGTGAACCTTTTGCGTCAAACATGAAGTCACATGTCCATCTTTCCCCTGACCCCATCAGAGCAAGGTTGTACATTGCCCTGATTGATGGGTCCCTGTGTGTAGATTGCAAAACCAGAACTGTGCATTGTGCAGTTTGGTTGACCCCTGTGTCCGTCACAAAAGCAGCTACCTACTTTTCAATGCACATGTCAACAGCTTAAAAAAAAGAAACCTCAAGCAAACATTTCAGCAGAAAAAGGAGCCAAACAGTTGACACTGAAAGCCAAAATGCACATTCACCTGAAGCATGGAGAGAGGAGCAGTTCGAGGCAAAGGCAGAGGTGGGGTGGGGCAGGGGGGGGTGTCTCTGGGCACACATCCTAAGGCTATAAGCCAAAGCACTCTTCCTGGGGAGAAACCCCTGTTGCTACAAGTAGGACTTAGATGGAAGGGGAAATGTTTGGAAAGTGTTGTAAGAAATGGATTTCCCTGGAATTAAGTGTGTCCACTATTCTGGTGCATTGCAAATTAACACTTTTTGTATCCTGTTGTTTTTTGATTAAGTTTTTATGCTTATAAACGGGATTTATTTTTATGTTAATGGCTGTATGGATTGTGGTTTATACTGATCTTGGAGGGGAGTTGTTATGTTAATTATGTATTTCAGTACTTGTGCATATAAGTTGCTCTGAGTTGCCTTTGGCAGAGGGAAGCAACACATACGTTATCACGGATGACAAAACTGCCTGCACATGAGGGTTTCTTTGCAACTGTTCAGGGATAACCTACCATGGGTTTTCCTTGCAACCATAAGCTCTACCAAGCCTCAGGTTCAAGTGCACCTTCCTCTCTGCTTCCCTCCTTTGCATATAAAGGGGGGGGGATCAAAAATGGGTCACAAACCATTGTTTGCTATTCCATCCTGATGCACAAACAATGGTTTGCACCAAACATAGCTAGAAGTCACAACAAGAGCTAGTATGCATTATTCTAAGTCAGTGGCAACCCATTTGGGCCCATGGGAGCATTTGGCCATTGACAATCCGGCATGGCTACTACCATGAAATAGTTGTCAGGGAAGGTATGACCTCCTTTGTGAAGGTATTCACAAAGAATAAGAAATGAAGGTTTTCACAAAGAATAAGAAATGTGAATAAGGTATTCACAAAGAATAAGAAATATTCCTCAGAGACAGAGTTGGGGTCTGAGCCCCAGCTCATGAAGCAATAATTTGGACCCTGCAGTTTTTAGCTCAAAGATAACCTGGAGGTAAGCTTGTTTTCTCCACAGCCTCTTGGCAAGCCAGCTCAGCCTCCCTGCCCGCCCCCAACCTGCTATCTGTTTTTCTTTCTCACTTTCAGAACAGCTCCTCTCCTCTCCTCTCCTCTCCTCTCCTCTCCTCTCCTCTCCTCTCCTCTTTGTCGGTGGCTGGGCACACTGTAGAAGAGAGCATCGGTCTGCTGCCACCCATCAGCTCCATTCCCTAAGAATGTCTTGAGGTCTCATATATGGCTTAAAAGCATTTAGGGAGAAATGAAGATGGGAGAAGCCGCAGTTCCTCATTTTGCCTTGAAGTGATCCCAGCTGATGATAAGAAAGTGTGTGTGTCTGTGTGTGTGTGAAAAGTGGGAGAGTTAGGGCATCCTTGTAGGCACCAAGTAAAGTGTTTGAGGGGCAAAATTATCTACTGAGGTATTCGGAGAATCACCCCCATTTTAGAAAAATATGATACACTTTTCATTCCTTCTCGTTAATTTAATGCATATTCATATGTGAGAATCCATTATGTCTTATATGGCTGGCACCCTCTGTGTGTGTGTGTGTGTGTGTGTGTGTGTGTGTGTGTGTGAGAGAGAGAGAGAGAGAGAGAGAGAGAGAGAGAGAGAGATATTTGTCTCTGTCAAGCTAGAGCACTCCTTCTTCCTTCTCAAAATAAGCAGGAAAACTGGTGAAACCTAAGGGTGAAGGAAGCTTGCTGCACTTAGGCTGCCGGAGACGATCCCGTTCAACAGAGAGTCTGGCCTGCAGCAGCAAGCCCTCTCCTATCTGGAACTGGGAATCTGAGGACTTGGATGCACACGACATGGCAAGCCAGAGTATGGGCTGAATGTAGATTGTTGCAGAACTGTGGTTGTTGTTGAATCATGGGCTGCTGTGTTGTGTGAACCTACCATGAGCAACCTACACAGAGAACACATGATTAGTTATGGGTTATGAACTGTGGGCTGATTTTGGTGAACAAGCCATGAGTTGTCAGCATGACTGGGCTCACACAGTACAAAAACCAACAATTCAACTCCAACTCACTGTTCAGTGACAACCCACACAGAACCAGTACTCTGACATGTCATGTTGCTCTGTGAGCCAGGTGAGCCCCCAGCTTACAAAAAGAGTGCAGAAATTTGGCACAGGTAAACATTTCGTGACAATATTTTTCCTTTCCGAAGATTGTTTCAGTGGTAAGGGGCACTGCCTCTTCGGAAAAGAGCTGGAGGGTTAGGAGGAAAAGCATTGGATGACATGATAACTTGTGCAACCCAAGGCAAAACTTCACCCCAAAGATCTTGTTGGAGATGAGAAGGGAGAGTTACCCCATTGTATGTGTTATGAGGCAGAGTTTTTTTGCTGGAGAACAAGAGACCATTGCTGTGCTCAGGAAATGGTGATGATCAATCAGTTATGTTGTTATGTCTCTTTTGCTTTTCACATTTTCACCATGTAGCATGGCCCTTTACACTTCTTAGACATCCAAAACCCATCCCGATACCCTTTAATGTTGCCTACCCCCAATTACATTGTTAAATGCTGAAATGAAGGAACAGAAATGCCCCATTGAAATTTATTTTATTGACTATTTCAGAGACTGCATGCTTTGCTGGAAACCAATGGCTGTACACTGTAATGCCAAGACTAAGAAAGTAAAAAATGCTGCCACCTGTATTCAATCTGACACATAACCTATCTTGTGGCTCCCCCTTCCCCTTTTGGTCTCCTGTTTTCAGATGACACGGGTTGCCCCAGTAGCCAGTCAGTATCTCCAGTTAAGACTCCTCCTGATACTGGAAACAGTCCAGTCGTTTTTTGTACAGGCAGCGATGGAGGAGACTACACAAGAAAGAAATTTAATTCGGGAACAATGGGGGACGGAACTCAACAGTCGGCTCGATATAAGAAGGAAACAAAGACCAGCCTCATAAAACCGGGTAAGGTCACTTTGGAGCTCTGCAGTTTGAGCTATTGCCTTTGTTTTTGCTTTTTGCTTTCTTATAGCATTTCCAAATGGCATACTACACCCACTTACAGTAAATGGGTACAGAGACAGAGTCTGCATTTAAGATATATGTGGTTTGTTTGATCTTTGCCTTGTCAGATGCTGCCTTTGTTTTGAATGGTGCAAAATATTTTTAAAGAAAGAAACTTGTTGCAAAAAGCATTGAGAGCCAAGCATAAACAATAGACTACCCACAATAAAAGCCTGAACAAATAGAAATTCAATACTGAAAGGATAAAGTTTGAATCATTTGAGGCCTAGATCAAATTTCAGTAAGATAAGAGCAATTTATATGAAATACAAATTCATTGGATGCCTTCTAGGAATTGCATTATATTTTTGTCATGCTCACGTCAGTTGAGGTTAATTTGCTGCTCGGATAAAGAGTTCTCTTTCTTCTGAAGGGCATGGTTCTAAGCAACAAATGAGTGCATTATCAGGCGTGCCTCCCCCATGGTTCTACTCTAAGTAAGACTAAGTCTAGCTTTAGCCTAGAATGTTTTATTGAGCCATAGTTTCACAGTATAGCTGAAGATTGATTGCAGCAGGATGCAACACCCTGGGCTTGCTGGTCTTATGAGAGCTGTGAAGGGGAGGGTGTGTTAGTGTATTATTCATTTGTGATGTGCACAACTAACATTTCTCTCCCCCCCCACCCCCACCCCCACCACATCATGCTTTACAACCACGTCTTCATTCCTGATATATTGGTGGTAGTTGAATAACAGCAGCAGCAGCTCTGAGCAGTTTCCTATTTTAAGTTTACTTAGATCATGGTGCTCATGTGACTCCAGGGATTTCTGTGGCAGCTAGTGTCCACCCCAATGGACCCTGGCAGCTCCATGCTGGCCCAGGTGCTGGCACCAGACCCGTTTGCTGTCCCCTCTCACCTGCTGCTCTTTGGGTAATCATGTGTCCCCCACCCACAAACTGTGGGGCTCTGGGCTTCATCCCCCGTTTCTGTCCCTGGTTGGTTCATTCAGCTGTACTTGGATTGTATCTGAAATTAAAAAGTGGCCTCTGAATGTGAAAGATGACCACGTCCCAACGATTGGTATGTCCCTTTCCTAGTTAAGAGTCAGTAGCTGGAAGCAGGCTGCCTTCCTAATTAACAGCCATGAGGACGACTTTGCGGGAGGCGCTTGCCGGAGGTTCTGCAGGACATCATGCAGGGCATCCATTTTCGCCCTGATCGAAAAGTGATCAATGCACTGAGATCTTCATGGGGAAAATGCACTCAGCAGAGAGTTTTTGAATGATATTTGTCATATTGAGCTTGGGTTGCTGTTTTTTGTTTGTGGCTGACTGCAAGGATCAGCAGACCATGGAGAAAAAATAATGTGTTTGCTGTTCAGACAGAGATACAGAATGTGCCCAATTGAATAGTGGCTTTGTCATGGGAATGGTTGAACAGCTTTTAGATCATTGTTTTGCACTGACCTGTTGGCAATGTGAAAATGCTGTTCATACCATTCTTACTGGAAGTTAGAGGGGGTTGTCCTGTTTCACTCAGTGGCATGACATCTCTCTCGCGCAGCTGATCCTCACCACGTTGTCTGCCTTAGTGTCACTGCATGGGTGAGTGATCCAGATCAGGCCCACCATGTGGGAGAGAGAGAGAAGTATTTTCACTTAGGCGGCCCTCCCTCTCAGTTTGCTACCCCTACAGCATATGTGTGTGTGTGTGTGGGGGGGGGGTGCCTGGAAAAAGTGGTTTAACCCTTTTGTTTCCAATGCAGACTGGCCCTGGATTGTGTCTTTGCTTACAACAATAACAACAGAATGGTTAAGATCAGCTCTCTGTGTTTACAGTAGCCTGCAATTTAGCCCATGGAGACATTGATATTGAAAAAATTGTACTCTCATAAGTGTGTTTATATTTTTCACCCCTTCTGATTCCAAAAAGAAAAAAAAATAGGCTTCTTTTTATTCCCACTGAAGATCTTACCAGCTTCTTCTGCTGTTTCTGACAATAGTTCACCTGATGTTTTCTGCAGTGTGAAAGTTTTGAAATCATATATTTGTTCACCCAAATATAAGATGGTCTGACTCTACAGCCTTGAATTTACAAGAGCCGAGCAGGGCTGTCCTGGATAGGACATTTTGGAGGGGTTGCATTCATAGGGTTGCCATAAGTCAGAGATAACTCGATGGCACATAACAATAAGAATATATGTCCACATATTCATCAGTGATATGCTTGCTGTTACTGGTTCCAACTGCAAGCAGCTATGTTTTTCAGAGTTCAGAACCCACACCTAGGATGTATTTGAGGACAGAAGCAGAACAGATGAGGCAACAGTTATGGGACTGCTGTACAGGTGTGTCTTTCAGGTGTTTGTGCAGGAGTTGGCTCCATAGAATGACAGATATAAAGCAGGTGATGTCTTTCTGTGAGGTTGCTTCTGTTCCATCTTGGGTACAAACTCCTTATTTTAAGGCCATAGCTGGCCTTGTCCATCCTTGTTTCCCCCTTGTCCATCTCACTGTGAGTAAAGTTTGCTCCTCCAGCTCTGCCACCAAACATTTTTCATCGGAAAGTCTCTTTTTCATGAGCTGACCATTGAATATGCCCTGCCACATGAGATCAATGCAATTAGTGGCATGTCCGCACTATGTTACATCGAGCCCTCCTTCAAACTCCACCTCTTCCTTCCGTGGACCCTTTTCCAAGAGAAACAAAGGGTCAAAGCACATCATACTTTAAAGATGGGGCTACTGGCAATGGCCTTTCCCCCCTTTCTTTTTACTCTACTATAGGTGCAGGAGTCCTGATCTTAATTGGGGCCCCAACATGGAGGCGAGGAAACCTTTAATCCTTTTCCACTGCTGTGGTTTTGATCCAGACAGGAACTCCCTCATCTGCAATGGATATTGCCAAATAATTTGCTTTGCTATAAGAAGATTTAAATTCCAATTTAAATTCCTTGTGTCCTGGGCGTGTTTGTTTTCTAAGCCACCTGGGCAACACTTGAAGAGTTAGGGTAAGGATTAGGGTTAGGATGAGTGTAATTCGCTTGTTAGGAGCTTACACACTGACTACGCACCTTACATCGGTGAAAGACCCCTCCCGAGGGAAAGGACCCTAAACTGAGAGGGACAGCTATCCAGAGGGAGTGTGCAGCCCTGGAACAAGCTCTCTAAGGCTGGAGAAAGCATGCATGGTTCGTCGCCACCTTGCCCCCCTTCCTGCTGCCGCATGTGACTGGCATCTTTTGCCCTGTACCTCACTTACCTTTGCAGCCAGCTGTCCCTTCTGCCTCATCATGCAGAGAGTTGCACAGCCCAAAGCAGCGGGTACGAGGCTGTCTCAAGAACCTTCCCAGAGCTCCCTGGAGTCTCTGGATGCAACCTCACAAGACCCCCTGCAGCCGCACCTTTCAGCTGTGAGCAGTGAGACCACCAGAGGGAGGGCGGCTGTTCTAGAGAACCTCACCAGCTGCTGCCTCGCTGAAGCAAATGGCAGAGGGGATAGCGTGTGGAAGGGCTTTCCGGAGCACCTGCTGGAGGGGGTAGCCACGGTGACTGGAACCCGCCATCCGGTGGTGCGGAGCGGTGCAACTTGCCACTCCTCCCACATTGCTTCCTGGTGTGGGCACTTCATCCTGCTTCATGGGAAGGCCATCCCTGTGTGTGGAAGCATGTGCGTATTCTTCCACAGGTGTTACTCTTCCCGGTTAATTGCTCCTTTGTTTCTGGATTGTGCAGCCTCTGACACCAGTTGCACAAAAACAATCTGATCATGTTCTGTTTTCTTAGCAGACTATTACTTTTGGTGCTGGTAGCGGGTGTGAGTCTTTGTTTCTTCTTGTACCTTCTTAAAATGGATGGTGCTCTTCCTCTTGGTGAAGATAGTCTGTGCATTGCGATAACAGGCTGCACAAACTCCCGAGAGAGAGAGAGAGAGAGAGAGAGAGAGAGAGAGAGAGAGAGAGAGGGATGCTGCTCATTTGCTGATAGGCTCCCTTTTAGTTTCACGTCTGTTGCTATGGTGCTGTGTAGGTTTGCTTATTTGACCTGCTAACTCGAGCAGTTGTTAAGGGATCTGTCTCCATGGATACGCCAGTATTAAACTATACTCCATGAAAAGCATAAAATACACACATCTCTCTGGGAAAAAAATGGCAAAAAAAATGAAAGCATTCTTGTTTTTGCGCAGAAAGATAGTTTCTGTGGTTCCATAAAGATTAAGTAAATACCCTATTCAAAATGTAATCAATGAGATCTGCATCATATGAGTTCTCTGTACTGAAAGAACCACTGCTAGACATTCAGATGCTCTGAGATAACATGCATCAAGATGTTGACACCACAAGTTCTCTTGTGTAGATGTTCCTTTGTAGCCAACTGTACCCTGAGTTCTATCTTTGTGGCACTATAAAATTATCAGAAAATGGAAAGAAACACAGAGCTAGGCAGACAGAGTGTTTTTTCACCTGAGACGTTAATTGTGTGCTCCTCATTCCCTTCAAACAGTTGTTTCTGAGTTCAGAGGATGTTGCAACCCTCCGGGTTCATGTCTGTGAGTAACCAACACTTCCAGCAAGGGCTTGCAGGGAGGGCAGGGTAAATACAGCATTTAATTGTGGGAGCAGAAGAATGCATGATTTCCTCAAATTTGTTTTCACTTCGCCTCTGTGTAGCATGAAATCAGGAAAGGAAGCTCTCCACGTGTCACATTCAGATCTCAGTTCTGTGACAAAACTGAAAGTCGATGCAGCAGGTCATCGGCCTCATGTAGGAATGGCAAGAGATGACCCTGTGCAGTTTAAAGGGTGGGACTCAAATCGCAGTGACTGACTCCGTTTCAGTGACTGACCCCTAAGAGTAAACCAAGATGGTGAGTGATGATAGAAGCAGAGCAAGTATGGAGACCCTGAGATAAATGAAGGCAGTCTCTGCCTGCTAAGAGGAAGCTTGCAGGGGTACATCAGACCTTTCCAAAGATTAGCAGCAGCAGCAGCAGCCCACCTACTCCCCCACTCCCATGCCCCCCAAGAAAGGATGCTTCTGTTAGAAACAGCAGAAGGATGGAAATGGTTTGGGGCACGTTATCATTGCTGGAACCCTAGAAAGGAACAGCTGTTGCAGGCCCACCTGGAAGAGAGCTGAGGGGTAGCAAAGGTGCCTCAGTGCCCCCTGACTTCCATATTACTCAGTGGCTCTTCACAACTTGCACGGACCCAGACCAGTGGTCTTCCCTCACAGTCCTTCCTTCTCACTGTTGCAGCCACCTGGTCTTCTGCTTCTCTCTTGGACCAGTTGTCAGTGTATTGCATCAGGATGGTGTCTCTATGCCTTAGTTTTCTTTTACACCTGTGAGTGGAAATCAGGCACTTTTAAAAGTAAATGCAGCCAGGCTTACTGATGGGTAGTTGTTAATGATCTCAGGTCTTGCACACTTCAACCAAAGTTGTGAACACCTCTGTTTCACAGACTTTAGTACATGATAAAGCTAAGCTCTGGCTGGACCATCTGCCTAAAATCTAATTTGCTCATGCCAGACTGAGAGAGAGAGAGAGAAAGAGAGAGAGAGAGAGGTATTTGATTATTTATTAACTGGTAGGCATACTGCCCAACTAGAAGAATGCTTGGCTTCAAATGATCTGGAATTGCTCCTTGCTATGCGATTGTTAAAATATCCTTTTATGCCTGCTGCTACCCACTGGCCACCAGCACGCAAGGAGCCTGCACAAAGAAGGAAATTTGATCCATCCTTCGCCAGGATGTTTCATACAAGGAGGCCCTTTAATTTCACAGAGTGATAATTTGTGATTTTATGCAAGGATACATTGTCGAGGAAATAAGCTTATCTAATCTCTGTTGCATTTTTTTCCCAAATAGGTACAAAAAGTAGTACAGTTCTTGGATCAAAAAAATCTATTTTAAAATACAGAAACATCCTTTCCTCTTCACTGATCTAGGAAGACGCTGAGCCAAAACAAATACGAAACTGGTGCCATGAGTGCTCCGCACAATCTGTTGTTTATTTAAAATATTCAAAACAGTAACCTAGAGCATAGCTTGTGACTTGTCTCTTTACTTCTCTTTTTCCCATCGGCTTTGCAGATTCTTTTTCTCGCTTGGCTCATGAATATTTTTCCAGATTCTTAAACATAAAGCTCTACACAGATGCAAAACAGTTTAATAACTTTTTCATATGGAAGGCAAGGATGTTAGGAATATTATTATTATATTTACAGTCAGATACATCATGATGTATACTAAAACTCAAGTGATCTTATGTGCCTTAAAAGCCTCATTCAGACTGAGAAGGTTGCATACCCCAAATGCACCTTGCATGGAAGAACTTCTGCAGAATGAGACCTACAGCGTAGACTTCGCATTAGCATTGTTGTCTACAGTCATTTGCACCATGTTTTCAGATTTTAGCCTCTTACCATTTTTCCATGAGAACAAAAACAATTGGGACATAAAATATCCCTCAGATCTGTTGATTTTTCTAGTAATCTGTCTTCATAGCCTCAAGGACATAGCCTTTTATATCTGAGGTATAAAAATGTCCCCAGCATTTTTCCAAATAAAACTAATCTGCATTTTTTGAATAACATATAAACAGATCCATAACAAAAGTTACCTATGTGGTGTTTTAATTTATTCTTGTTATCTTGTCTAATGACATGGTTTGGTTGACTTTGAACTGTAGAATTTTAAAAAATGGACTGGAAAAGCAAGGGTGTATTAAACTCTCCAGGGTCAGATTTTTACGGAGTTAGAACACCCCACAAGACTAATAAGTTTAGGTTTTGTAATATTAACGTTTTACCTAAAGGTTTACCTTGACAGTTTATGAAATTTCTCTAATGTTTTCAGTCTAAAAAAACTACTGACACATTTATTTTTGAAGGCATTTGTGTTCCAGAATATATTGAGAAATGGGTTGGGGTAATAAACTGACTTCAAAACACACTGGTGTACAGTTTTAGGTGGGTTGAATATATTTTCTAATATTTTGTAGTATTAGGAACACAGTCATCATAAGAAGGCAGAACTCCAGATCTCCCCGGAGAAGACAATCATGCTAGGGAAAGTCAAAGATGGAACAAGAAAAGGAAGACCAGATAAGAGATAGGTTGACTCCATAAAAGAAGCCATATCCTTTATTTATTTATTTAATGGATTTATATCCTGCCTTTTTCCTACAAGAGCTCAAGGCAGCTTACATCATTCTCCTCCTCCATCTTATCCCCACAACAACAACCCTGTGAGGTAGGTTGGGCTGAGAGTCTGTGACTGGCCCAAAGTCACCCAGCTGGCTCCATGGCTGAGTGGGGACTCGAACCCAGATTGTCTGAGTCCCAGTCCCACGCTCTTAACCACTACACCACACTGGCTCTCTCAATTGCAAAGCCACACAATTTACAAGAGCTGAGCAGGGTTGTCATGGATAAAACATGTTTCATTCATAGGGTCACCAGAAATTGGTGATGACTCGATGACACATAACAAGGAACACAGTAGGACTTTCTTGGAAAACATACATGTAATCCTATGCATGTTTTGACAGCAAAAAGCCCTGAAACTCCTAGTATGGCCTATCCATGGTATGCTAAGAGTTGTACTGGGGAATTTTTGGTCAAAACATTTATAGGTTTGTGGTAGACTGAATATCAACTGGAACTGGATTACAACTTTTGAGTGGCATCCAGCATTCCCCTGAGCCCCCAGGAGGCTGGTCTGGAGGATGGGCAGACCCTCTGGAACAGTGTCACAGGTGGAATTGGGGGCTACAATGTGAAGATAAGACCAGCAAAAAGTTTTTATCTCCTCATTCCTGCAAAGGTCGTCATTTCTAGACCTCTGTAGCTTCTGTGAACAAAAGGAGCCTTTCCATGAATGGAGGTAACACTTATAGATCTAATCCATTGCTTTGAAACTGTGGTCCCCATTGCAGAATAAATATTATCAGAAACCTCTGCATGGCAATTCTGCTGAATTGAATGGGCTCTCTGCAAGCAAAACGCGTAACCTTTCATTTTCAGCTTTTCTGTACAGGGCACTTCTTGTGTGCTTGTCTAAAGAGCAATGTGGATGAGGGTTTTTTTGTTTGTTGTTTGTTTTTTGGGAGGGTAAAATGGGATAGAAATGGCCATTTCTACTTGTGTATTTGCACTATTTTGCTGCACCGCAGCAGTACCAAAAGGTTTTCTAGCAGAGTACTGGAAAGGGAATTATCCTTGTGCAGCTCTCATATCTCAGCTCTGCAACAAAAATTGAAAGCAGATGCAGCAGATTTAACAGCCTCATGTAGAAAAGGCCTTCAAAGGGCAGAAATAGTCACTGCTCGCTTCTTCATCGTGTCATGTTTATTAGATGTCTGTGCTTCCCTGCACTATAAATGGGTGCTCCTATAATAAAGAAGTGAAGGAGTAGGAACAAATACAAGCTCCATCAAATATGTTAGCATGAACAGAAAATTAAGATAGATAAAAATTAAGAGGATAAAATCGGCAGGATCAAATATCAGGACATTGTCGACAGTTTAATAGCCTGGGAGAATACGAATCTCTCTGAGCACCAGCAGAGAGAGTCCAAGGAAAATGCCAAGTGAGTTTCCCTTCATGGGGAAGAATCTTGTAATGCCACTGCAGAGAAAGCTCTTCTCTTCTGAAGGTGGGTTACTGTGAAAAAGACATGGGCAGCAGGCTTGTGTGGTGGCAGAAGTTCCTTCAGGTTCCAGTCATTGTAGGATCTTAAAAAATAAGCACCGGCATAGTGGATTACGCTCAGAAACAGGCCAATAACCCATGAGAGGGATTTTGAACTGATGAAAGATGTTCCATCCAAGCTGGTGCCAGTCAGGGTCCTGCAACTGGATTTTGACCTAGCTGAAATTTCTGAACTGTCTTCAAAGGCAGCCCCACCTATGACGCATTGCAGAAGACCAGGACTAGTAGTCATGGATAGCTTTTTCTCCACAGATTCTTCCAAACCACTTTTAAAGTAATCCAATTTGGCAAACATCACTTATGGATTTAAATTTCATAGATTTACGAGGTCCAGAAGACAGCTTTCTACATTCTTAAGGCAGGCCCAGTGCTTTGGAATGCTTTCACTGTGATATATTCTAATGCCTTTCTTCCTTGCCCTTTGAGTTACCTGGATTAATTTTGCTGTGGATGTGTATTGGATTTTGTTTTAATTATTCTTATAAATTTTAAACTTGTTATCTTGTATGCTGCTTTGGACATCTTGATGAAAAGTGGAAAACTACAAGTTTGGCTTCCACATTCCAGTGGAAGAAACACGGTAGTGACTCATGCTTATACTTACGCTGCTCACGTAAATTCTTGATGTCAACTTTTCATCAGGCATTTATTCTTCCTTTTTCCATCCAGGAAGTGAAGCCGATTTTAGCTCATCAAGCAGCACAGGAAGCATTTCAGCTCCTGAAGTCCATATGTCTGCTTCTGGAAGCAAGAGATCATCATTTTCTCGCAAGTATGCAGTGGTATCTTTCTTCAGCTCTCGCCTGTCAGTGCTGCGTATATTGGAGACTTGGGGTAGGGCAATGGCACGTGAGGGAAGTTAACCTGGATCCTCTCCCCACCCACCCCATTCTGTTGTCTTGCATGTGGTTTGTGGTGCAGACATGACTATGAAGTCTTCATTAGAGTTATCCTAAAGTTGTAACTAGGTAGGAGAAAATTCTTTTCCTGTATTCAGCCCATTAATTTTACAAGCCAGCAAAGTGAATAAAAATAAATAGGAAGCAAAGAACATGGAAGCAGCTGGACATGCAAGCTTTTCACCATGCTCATTCTGATCAATTAACCGTTGGCCTCTGGTCAGCAGAAGTTCAATTTTTTTTTGCAATCACATTTTGTCAGTCCAGCATCTGGGTTGAAAAGTTTTACAATAAACTATGATTAAGACTGAAGACACCCCTGGTCATTGGCTAAGCTGGCCTGATGTTACAAAGGAGTAGGGTAGCAGAAGAGTCTCTGGATGCCATTGGCTGCGATGATCAGATCTTACAGAGGGGCGGGTTGAAAGACGGAGGGCTAGAAGAAAGGAGAAGCAAAGTCCTAAAGCAGGAACTTAGGAAAGAACATTTAGGAAATAGAATGGTTCTCCTATGGGCATCTTCAATGATGCCCGCAAAGTAGTCCTCAGCATGGTGCCCGTGAACCTCTGAAAAATCCACACACTGTTTTTCAGTGTATGTACCTGGATTGGTATAAATTCACACAGCTTTCTAGCAGTAATACATAGGCTTAATAAAAGTGGATCCAATAGCCAAGTAAGTATCCACGTGAACATAGTGAATATTTATCAGAGAATCAGATATTGAAAATATTGCAATTTTCTTGGTGCATTGCACTGAGGTGAAACTTTCTAAAGGTGCCCTACCATGCTTTTGGCTATCAAAAGGGTGCAGAGAATCTGCTTCCCCTTGCATGAAATAAAAGAGCATATACATCAGTGAATATTCAGGACTGTCCCAGTACAAAATTTATATGTGTAATAACCTCCTTCACAAAAGAAGCAACCTCGCCAAAGCATGGATTTTAAGAGAAGCATTAGCTGCATTGCAGTAACTGGCTGGTTCAGACAATCTTTATTAAAGAGTCATTAATAAACATGGAACCGTTTTTGATAAATAAGATGCAGCCCAAGATCCATAGATGTGACAGATAAACATCAAACTGGAGATCCACTGATTAGCCATTTTGTGGTGATACCCACAGCACGTTCTCAAAATCCTAAATATGCCCACGGGTCCAAAAAGGTTGGGGGATCCCTGGAATAGTGGAATTACAGCAAGAGAAGAAAACCAGCATAGGATTTTGAAGGGAGAAGCAAAACTGACAGAATTTGAAGAGGAGAAAAACAGGGAATTTGAAATAGCACAGCAGATCTTTTGGCTGCAGTCTTTTGTTATGTTTGCTGCTGAAAATTACACAGAGCACTATTTTGTTGGACATTGGCTTAATAGGGAAAGGATACATCTCTGAGTATCCTCAGAGATTATTTAAAATATGCTTAAATATGCAGCTTTTAAGTCTCAAACAGGAAAGAGGGGTTCAACCTGAAAGAATTCTCTGTTTCTCAGCAAAGTGCTTGTACAAGAGCAGGCTGACATTTTTACACACCAACACTTTTTACAACAGCATCGGTTTGCGATATGCTTAGGACAATTTATTACAGCTTTGCAAGAGCTGGATTCTGTGTGTGTGCAGTCCATGATCTGGCAAGTAGCTGCTGCCTTAAAACATTTAATACCAGTGCATACATCTTTGCCATCATGAAGCAGAATGAGCTATTCAGAATGCAATGTTCTACTTTGGATCATGGAGAAAGTTCTGTGACCAAGCAGCTGTTCCTGGTTAATCACAAATGCTTGTGAGAGTATTTTGCTCCCCTCCTAACACAGATTTCTTTCTTTATTTATTTATTTAATACATTTTGGGCCGTGTTTTAGAAGCAAGCACTCCCAAGGTGGTTCCTAATGTGTGTGTGCACGTGAGTGTGTTTGCACATATGTATGTATGCAGTCAGTTTGAAACAGCACCATAAAACACTGGAGAGCTGCAATAACAGTAAAATAACTACACAGCCAGCTATTATTATTATTATTATTATTATTATTATTATTATTATTATTATTATTACCACCACCACCACCACCACCACCACCACCACCACATCCCACACCATTAGCCAAAAAGGCTCTCTTTTGCACCATATCTGCTAAACAAATGAATCAAATAAATAAAAACTCTTCAGCTTCACTTGAAAGCAGGGGTTCCATAAATGGATCCATAAATGGCTTCCACTGAAAAATCTCTGCACCTCATTCTCACAAACTTGGGTGATCCTGCCAACAGATGGAAGAGCAATGCCTCAGATGCTGAGCTTAGAGGGCAGTCAGGCAGAGCACTGTGTGTCATGCCATTCATTTCTCCATGTGCTCAGGGCAGACTAGCTGCTTTCCTAACAATCCACTTTTCTTCATCAAATTGTCCTCCACCACAGCTCGCATCTGCTCTCCAATTCTGCCTCTCCTAGCTGATTTTCTCCCTGCAGTGCTCCAGAGGTGTAATTTCCCATCATAAGCATACAGCTGAGTACAGAGAAGGCCCACCTCAGGTTCCTGCTCCATCTGGACTTGCCTGTCCAAGCTGTAGAGCCATTACCACGACTGAAAAGGATTCCAGGAGAAGGGAAACAGGCAGGCAAAGTCCACCTCAGAGCCTCTTGCTCTTGCCATGACCCTTCCTTCCTTCCTTCCTTCCTTCCTTCCTTCCTTCCTTCCTTCCTTCCTTCCCAGACCAGGCCTTAGCATCACAGAATCATAGAATAGTAGAGTTGGAAAGGACCAGGGAGGCCATTGGGTCCAACCACCTGCTGTTGCAGGTCAACGGTCTATACCATCCCACTCAGATGAGTGTCCAGTTTCTTTTTGAATGTCTCTAGTCAATCACCCTGTGATACAGATTGTAATCAGTATATATATTTTCAAAGGAATATTTATTGTGATTTGAGTAATGCAGTTAGACCACTTACGCACCACGGAAAAGAGACAGAAGGAGACACAGATTTCTATCAAGTTAATGTCTATGATAATTATAATTGAAATGGAAATATCATTTCACAGTGAGGCAGACTGAAATGAAAGGGTGACCTGTGCACATACCTGTTCAGTCCACTGCCCAGGTCCTGTTGATGTGTAACCTGAAGCCTGAGCTCTTCTTTCTGGGAGTTCTTGATCTTTAACTCAGCTGGGGACTGGACAGCCCTTAGCATACAAAGCCCTTTCAAATTTGAGGGCAGTCCTTCAAACAGAGGACTGTCCATTATAAAAGAGAATACGCGGACACACTAAAACTTGTAAACTGCTGTAGAAGGAAAGTTAAGATGTAAATAATTGTAATAAATGCCTATAAATAACATGGAATCTTAGATGTGAAATGTAGGTTGGAAAAGTAGAAAATGTTGCCTGGAGCAATTTTGAGGAATAGTAAAAACACAGGACCTACTTGCTATCTGTTTGTTTCCTAAAAAATACCTCTCTTTTGAAAAAAAAATTCCCAGTCTCTCCCTTTTCTACCAACATTTTCCTATAATAAAAAGGATTAAACAACGTAACAAAGTACATTTTCTGGAACTGGGATTAGATTATATTGAAGTATATGAGTTACTTCACAATTGGAATTGTACCTTACAGTGTTTGAGTTTTAAAAAATGTATAATGATTAAAAAATAAACAAGTTATTTGAGCAAGAAGGTGAAGTAAGGAAAACTACTGGGTTGAATCCTTCAATTTCCTCTGAAGTTTCATATGATATTCTTTCAAGTATAGTCCTTGAGCCAACAAGGCAAATTGCACCTGCCAAAAATATGTCATTTGTGCCATGTGTGCAAAATGCAGATTCTTTTGGTCAGTTTTCCCATTTTTAGAGTCTATTTACAGTGCAACCCTATTCATTTGTACCCAGAAGTACATATTCCTTACAGTCGTTTGGATCTGTAGCCGCAAAGCAGGAAATAGATTAACCATACAGCCCATTTAAGTGTGTTTGGATGCTCTGGTGGCTGGTTGTCCTTTTTCAACATGGACTGACTGTGCTCAGGGCTTGGGCAGCCATCAACCAGGGGCTGGCCTGTTGTTAAGCTCTCCTGGGCAGCTCAGCTGCATTCTGGAGGAAGAGTCACCCTTCCACCTCAGGTCAGGCGATCAAGGCAGTCTCTCATGTTCATCCCCCAGACTCCAACTTGGGAGCCAGCATCCTCAGCAGTGACCTGGACAAACCCCCACCAAGGAGGGAGTGGAGGACCCTTCCCCCATGTGGAGCCTCCTGTGGCCAGAGCTTTGATCTACTCTGGCTGGCCTCCCAGGACAAGCAGGAAACACCCCAACTCATGAATCAACATGACCTGTCAGTCTCTAGACCCATCGTAATAATCAGATGCTTATGCATTTTACTGGCTGTTTTTAATTATTGCTGTAAACCATCCAGTTTTGGCTGTGGGGCAGTATAGGAATGAATGAATGAATGAATGAATGAATGAATGAATGAATGAATGAATGAGTCCTACTGAGCTGAATGGGATTTATTTCCAAGTAAGCACATCTAAGGTTGTAGCATTAAAACTGCATTTTTCTCTTAGCAAGGGGACACTGCAGTTTGGAAACACTTGTTCAGGTTCATTGATATAGCCACACAGCCCCCAATACAGTCTAGAGTTGCATTCTTCTAAGTAGAGCTACCCAGACCACATCCTTGGGATGCTGCCCTACAGAATGCTCACTCAGCCATCTGGTCTGTATAAAGTGTTCCATGCAAGGGAAGGAGGAAACCAATTCACATGAACGTTAAATTGGGAGCTTTATGATTTGCGGTATTCTGCCTGCATGTATTCCGGCTTAAACGTCCCCGTACAGCAGCAGCTCTCTTTCATATTTTGAAAAGGAACAGTTTGGATTGTGTTAGTTGTGCAGCTCTTAGTAAGAAGTGAACAACTTGCCAGGCTACACCCACATGTGAAATTTGCCAAGCTACTAGCATGCTTTGTGCTATTTACATGATTACCCTAATCTCTGTTTTCCCAGTGGGTGAATCCCTGGTCATCAGCTGTGATGGCAAATACCCTTAGCATTGCTAATTTTGGGGTGACTTAGGTTTAAAAGAATGATGCAATTGTGTGAATAATTTAAAGGGTTTAGAAATCATAAGATGGTTTTTAAAGAAATTAACAACAACCTTTTATACGTTATTCTGCTGGTAAAGGAAGCATTTCAAATACAATCCTCAAATTATCAAATTTAACACTGTAGTCATTAGAAGAAAGAAATGAGAATCTGAGTATGTTTGGATTGATGTCTGCATTTACAAAGTGTCATTGCAGCTGTTTTTGGTGGCCTCTGCCCCATAGAAATGGGAGCTGCTGAGCTCATAGAAGATGAAAGCAGAGTTGGCTTGTGCTTTTTAGCACTAGTCAGAATATCAAAGCTTCCCACAATGCCTGGATTTCATGATGAAACAATCCACAGCCTTTTGTTTGGGAGTGACAGGAGTGGAAAAAAAAACTACCCAAGAGAGCTTTCTGGGGGTGTACAATAAAAAAAGAACATTTACAGTTTATTCAGACGTACAGGAAATTCATGCATCATGTAGGCAGTCCCCAAAGGAACTACAAAGATGTACAAGAAGCTTTTATTAAAAAGTCAGAATGGGAAGCTTTGACTGTTTCTGCAAGGCACTGTATGTAGGGATATGAGTATGTCTGGCTGTGTGTGAACAAACGGGTTTTTAACTAGTGGATCTATCTGACTAATGATTGCATCCCTCACATTTTTTTCAGTGGTGCGCTATAACACTCTATTTTCATTGTCTCTTCTAGTCGGGGGCCTCATGGGCGGAACAATGGATCCTTGTCCTACAAATCTGGGTCTAGTCCACCTACTACTACACCCCGCGAAAAGGACTTCCTGTCGATGCTGTGCAAAAATCAGTTGAGTCCCATTAGCACCCATCAGAATTGTGGGGCTTCTTCAGCCAGCAGCAGCAATTCAGGCTCATACAAGGGAAGTGATAGCAGCCCCATTTTGAGGCAAGTCCAATGGTCCATCCTTTCCTCCCCAACCTGCTCTGATCATCCAAGCTCCCCGCATCCCCAGCCGTCATCAAACGACTGCACTGCAGCAGAAGTTACCCCTTATTGCACATGATTGCTGGACTACCAATGCTACACATTCTCCTGGCATGTAAACAGGTGTGGTGGGGATGCCACTAACCTTCCCTAAGCAGATTTCTTTTCCCTAGAAGTGGGGGACTTTGCTAAAGGTCAAGCATCTCTCACTAACTCACTGTCTGCATTAACTTTTTTTGGCTTCTAAATTAGTCCCTTGTGAAATAGAGTATAACGTAACACCACTTGCCATTGCCTTGACCTGTGGCTGCTGTGAAAAGAAGCTCCAGTGTTGTTGCATATTCCTGTGTTCTTTCATGTGTGATCCTGCTGACCTTTATGTGGCTGTTTGTTCACATGATATCTTTACTACAGACAAATGGTCATTGTTTGCTAGCTGCGCTCTGCTTAGTCTAGGGGAACGAATTAGCTCCAGGAAATGCAAGGTGAGGATTGCAACCATAGTTAGTCCAGTTCTGTGGCCTGTGTGCTCTAGGACAATGAGGATCCCAAGAACCAAGCCTTGTAAGTAAAGAAGGAAAATTTTTATAAGTCCACCTTGTTATTGTTATGTGCCATCAAGTCATCTCCGACTTACAGCAACCCTATGAGTGAAAGCCCTCCAGATGTCCTATCCATTCCATCCCTGCTTAGCTGTCCTAAATTCAAGGCTGTGGCTTCCTTTATGGAGACAACCCATCTTTTATTTGGTCTTCCTTTTCTTCTTCTGCCTTCAACTTTCCCCAGCATGATTGTCTTCTCCAGTCAATTTGCCTTCTCATGATATAGACCAGTGGTTTTCAGACTTTTAACAGCTGGGAACTGGAGATAACAGGAAAACCACCTCAGGGACCACTGAGGCAGAAACAAAAAGCATCATACACATAATACCATATTCTGTATATTAGTTTCCAAACACAACACCCAAAAAATGAAAATTCTCCAAAACAACCAGAAACCAAGCAATAAAAAACACCAATAAAAGAACAAAATACCGAAATTGGTGTGGCGTGGCTCCCAGCTGGCTCCCACCAAGCCTTCTATCCCCTCCCTGCTCCCCCCAGTGGCACCTGCAACCCCTCCGCAAATATGATGCCAACAGAGGAAGAAGTGGTGGAACACAGCCAGCTCCAGCACCAGTCCACAGCGAGCGGGATGTGGGCCCCCACAGACTGGCAGGAAATCTCTCGCGGACCAGTGGTGGAAAACCACTAATGCAGACCACCAAGCAATGCATAAACTACTTGTAAAAACCTTTCTGAAATGTATGTGTATTAAGCTACTTGCCCAAACATTTTTTGCTTCTTTTTAATAAAAGAGAGAGCACAGGGCTGCACTGGAGATCCAGTGTTGGCGTAAGATTATACTGTTTAAAATTATACCGTTGAGAGCCAGCAGGGCTGGTGATAAGAGCAGGCATGCTTAGGCAGTTGCCAAAGGCCTATAGCCAAGCAGGGGTCAGAGCCCCTGCATTTGCAGCTCTTCCTTACTACTTGATCACCTCCTCCTTGCTCTGGCCCGGACAACAGTGGTGGTGACGATAAGGACGAGCAGCGGATGTCACTGCCTCCATGCTCAGCAGCTCCCCACCTGTCCAAGAAATGAGCAGATGATGAAAAGGAGCAATTGCAGCTGGTGACAATGGCAATAGGAAGGCAGCTTCATTCAGGAAGGGGCTCACTAAGAGTGTCTTGCCCAAGGGTCTTCCAAAACCAGGAGGTAGCCCAGGGAGTAACCTTTGAGCTGGAAGAAATGGAACTGGTTCCAGGTTTTAGGGGGCTCTAGGCAGCATGCTCTTTGATTGATCCTTTTGCCCATTAGTGAGTTTTGGTGGTCTTGTTTTGTGGCGGCCACAACAGTGCTCCAGGCAGCTGGGACTGGCAGCCATTTTGTTTTTGCACAATGCCTCTAACATCAGTTGAAGGCATAGCAGGAAATCAGGCTGTTGCTCCGTCCAACTTTCAAGGAACGTTGGTGCTCCACCCACTTGAAAATTCTGAAATGGGATTAGGTTTCATACTTCAGCCCAGCCGATCTGTGTCTGTTCAAGTGTCACCTCCAGTGAATTTATTCATTATTATTCTTTTAAAATATTTATATTCCACCTTTCCTCTGTGAGTCCCAGCTGGCTAACAGCATGGGCAAACACAATAATGGACCTATTTACAAAACAGTTTGAGAAGCAAAAACTAAAATAACTAAAAGAAGGCAGTCATAAATTATTAAAACTGTAGGAAAGGGGCTTAAAAATACTGTACAAAACCAAATGAAAAACAAAGTCAGAACAAAAGCCCCCTTTTCAATAAAAGCGTTTCTAAAAGAGAGCTACTCTTTGGTTATGCCCAGGTAAGTGCATACAGTGGCCTTTCACAAAACAATGCCTTCCAGATTTGTACGACTACAATTCCCATCCTTCCCGTCCAGCATGGCCAATGCTATGGCTGCCCCTCAAGGAAGTCTGATATATGAGATTTAAAATCATTTGCATCTCGCTTGTCAACCAACTAATCAAAGCAGTTTACACATATGTACGTGTGAATAAGTATACCACCATGAATACCACTTATGCTGGTGAATGCTGGAGCAGAGGACTGCTGTCCAAATCACCGATCTGTACTGTGCACGACACAAACATTGCTTTGCAGGCACAACACCGTTTTTCTCTTGCAGGCGGCCAGCAAGGTACCCCTCTTGCGGTGAGAACCATGGCATTAAACCACCCAGCCCAGAACAGTACCTGACCCCTCTGCAGCAAAAAGAAGTGACACTGAGGCACCTGAAAACAAAGCTGAAGGAGTCTGAGAGCAGGCTTCAGGAAAGGTAAGACTGCCAATTGGAAACAGATTTTGTGAGGCAGCCATCCCCGGGCTGGCCCCTTCCTGTTGTGTTAGACCACTGACCCTGCTGGCCAGAGATGTTGGACAATGTAGCTCAACACGTCTGGGGAAAGCTGTTTTAAAGCGTGGAGGACATTATATGGGAGAGCTTGGTGGCAGGTTGTTCTGCAAGCCATGAGTGTTACGGCCAACTGTTCTTCTTCAGGCATGAGGGCTGAACAGCTTAGGGACTCTCAGTAAGGGGCACTGCACCAACCCACACTGGTCCTGCCCTGTTCTCGCCTGGCCGTGTCGGGTGGAATGACTAACTCTGAAGGGAGGTCCTACTCATGTCCATTTACACACAAGTAGACCTCTTTGCATTATCAGCAGCCCTGCATTAGCAGAGTTCCCAATTGCACAGGAGTGAGCTTCTCATGCTCAAGCTAATATGGGTGGAAGCCCTGCTCAGATCTCCTGGCTCAACACAGGGAAGTCAAGATCTTCAGAACGGGGCAGCGTGTGCAGTGATATCGGCATCAGGGCTGATGTGCACAGCCTTGTGGGCCTCAAGCACTTGTCAGGCCCTTTGAGGCACAACGAGCTATAGGCACAAACTCTAAAGCCCTGAAATGCTTTCCGAAATTTGTGTGAACCACAGAATATAATTTTGGAGAAGGGCAACAGATCAGTCCCATGCTTGGCATGCTGCATATCTTGACTTCAGCACCAGCATCTCCAGGAAAGCCTGGAAAAGACCTCTAGTTAAAAATCTAAGGAGCCAATAATATTCGGTCTTCTAGATGTTTTGCACTCCCAGCTCCCTCCCATCCCATTTAGCATTGCCAGTGGTCAGGAGAACTGGGATTTGTTGCCCCAAACATCTGGCGACATCAGATTAGGGGAAGACTTGTGGGCAGGGGTAGGAAGTATGTTTATATTTGATGTGTGCTTAACAGTCAGGAGACTCAGTAGTCTAGGAAAAAGTTTCTACAGTATGTAAAATACACATTCCCTGTGGTTGGGTATCTTTAGTCTATGAACTAATTCTTAACCTTGTGTGAAATAGGAAAAAACTGCTCTTTCATGCAATTTGTCCTCCTTCGTAGGTGCCCTTCACAGTTTGATAGACTCAACAAAGCTAAGTAACTTCAAAAGAGCATGACTGGAACTGATGTTTTGTTTTGTTTTGTTTTGATCTTTGTTCAGAGAAATAGAAATCAAGGAACTTAAGTCTCAGCTGGCACGCATGAGGGAAGACTGGATTGAAGAAGAGTGTCATCGTGTTGAGGCCCAGCTTGCCTTAAAAGAAGCCAGGAAGGAGATCAAGCAACTCAAGCAGGTTATTGAAACCATGAAGAACAGCTTGGCTGAGAAAGACAAAGGAATTCAGAAGTATTTTGTGGATATCAACATCCAGAACAAGAAGCTAGAATCTCTGCTTCAGAGCATGGAAATGGCACAGAATGGCTCTTGTAATGAGGATCAGAGTCTAGAGTATGTGTGTGGATCACCAGATAAGTCTTCAACTCTGAGTACGAGCTACTCCAAAATGGCCGATGGCATCCTCACAGAGGACCACTCTTTAGATGACATGGCCGATAGTGGTGTGCTACTTAGCGATGATGTGGTGAATGCGAATGACATTTTTGAAGAGACAATGACTGCTACAGCACCTGAACTTGGTCGTCCAGCTGTCTTCACAGCCTCTACCTTAAATCATCTGGATCTTGTAAAGAACCTGACCGACTCCAAAGAAGATGATGACAGCCACAACCACAATGTGGCAATGGAACAAGCAGTTCAAGCAGATGTGTTGCTGTATAGTTCAGACATGGAACAGCTGATTCAGAACATATTCAAAGCACAAGATGGTTGTCTCATCAGTCCATCTTCATCTTTGAAAGAATCAGATGTATCTTGTTCTGAAAGTATCACAGACTTACTCATGGATTTAACTCCATGTGATCCAAATTCTGTTATCCTTTTATCCCCTGTGGAGTCAGTGCGTGGTGCTGTGGATTCTAGATACTATGAAAACCGAGTCATGAAAGAACTGGATTTCACAGACTGTAATATGGAAATGTTTGGGAGTGTTGCAGAGATGTCCGAGGGAAGCATAGTGAAAAGATACTGGAGCGATAACTTCCTCATAGATCTGTTGGCTGTAGCTGCTCCTGTTGTGCCAACAGTAATATGGATGTTCAGTACTCAAAGCGGAGGAACTAATCCAGTCTACAATTTTGGAGCATTGCTTCGAGGCTGTTGCCTGGTAGCCTTGAATTCTCTTCGTCGTATGCCCATCCATGTCCAACCCTAGATGTAACTGTCCTTTACAGCGTGCCAAGCAGCTGAATTCTGGTGGATGTAGTGAGGCCATGAAAGCAGTTGTGTACGTAATGGTGGGTCTGTCCATTTTGCTCCTCAATGTTTGATTTGCACTATATTTAGTTGATGACATGCTCATTGATTGAAACTGAAGGAGAAAAGCTATTGCTGGCATAGAGATTTGCTTCCACTAAGTGTAAAAACATGAGTGCATTTTTAAAAGCATGCTGAGCACTTCTCATTCTGTCGTAAGATGTATGGATTGTTATACCAAATGTTTTCAGATGTGAGAGGAAAGTTCATTCTTCCAAAGGCAGCTTACATAATCCTGGCATGTATTGTCTCTCTGTGCTTCTTAGTGGCGCTTTGATTATGTAACCACCCCTGCATTCCACTGATCTTGTCTACAAGGGGACCGTAACCAAAAGGGAAAAAAAGCATTTATGTCGATGGATGGGAGTCTTGAAACTCGTTATTAATCTTGTTTATAAATATGGCTGTGAATATATTTTATGAAACCTGTTTTGAGTCTTAAATTAAGTCTTATTGGAACGTGATGTCATTGAAGTGTATGAAGGAATATTTTAAATGTATGGTGTACTAACTTATTTTTCCCTTGTTAAATAAAGTTTTAAGGAAAAAAACACTTTATAATCACAAGTTATAAATAAAGCATGTTGAAAATGATTTGATGTCTTGGTTTTAGCTGAATGTACTCTCTTCTTTAAAAAAAAAAAGGCGGGGGGAGGGTGACTGCAAACCGTTCTTCCTTTACCTGGTCCAACTCCACAGTGGGAGGCAAAGTAGAATATAAATGGTGCAGAGAAAACACACTCATTTTCATCAACCATGCTGGCTGGGGCAAATAGGAGTTGAAGGGCCACAAGCTTTGGGAAGCAGGTCAATTGATGGATTGGATAGACAATTGCTGTGGTTGCTGCCAATTTGGGTGGGAAGATGCCTTACGAGGTGTAGTTATTGTACACAATATTGTAGAAGTTTTTGCTTAGTGCAACTTACTGTATTCCGAGAGCAATCCTAGCCATTCTTTGTCCCACAGATATGCCTGTGAGTTAGGCTGGATATGACCTTCCCATGGCAATTCAGTGAGTCTTACACTTGTGCCAGGTCCTGGTAGAGAAGACAGACACAACCGGCTTGGACTGGCAATCAGATACCGCTTGTTGTTCAGCACTTTGGTTTTGAGAACCTGAAAATTGCATGATCCCCTTCCTTGCCCCAGGAATTGTGGTTTGTTTCTAAGCACTTCAAAAAGGAGCCATGAAAAGCAGGGGGAGTTACCTCCCCTTCCTGGAGTACCTGGAAGCTCAGTGAAATGTTGAATAAGGTGGACACCAAGAATTGTTGGTTCAACACTACACAGCCAAATAAGAGATCTTATCCACCTCCAGCAGTGCTTTGGGTGCACCTTTATCACTTTTCCTCCTCTGCTGGTGCTTTTCAGTTGACAGCCAGGCAATTGGTACCTGCCAGCCATGCAGAAACTAGCCTACATTCAGTCTCACCCTGCCAATTCTATGTGTATTTCCTACTTCACTTTGATCCCTTTGTCAGATGAAACATACAAGGCAACTGACAAAACTGTTATATCAGTACACTTACAAAATACCAAGAGTGTTAAAAAATAAGACAATTGATCTGTTTTCTGGATCTCCTCATTCACGTGTTTTTTAAATGGTGGCACACCAGTGATCATCATTCCAAAGTACCACTTGGAAATCAGTGAAGGGACTCTAACTGGTGGCAGCATGGAGAAAACTGCAAAATAGAATGAATTTTCCACTTTTGCTGAGCAGCTTATTATTCAAACTCCACAACCTACAATAAAATTGCTCTCGAGTTCCAATGATCATGGCTAGTTAGCCACAATGTGTTCATACCATATGAACCTAGTCAATTGTTGTATTAAGTCTACCAATACATTCCAGCAATTATATGGGAAGCGCACACCAACACATAGCCAGAATCACATGTGGTTCAGTGCCTTCTTGTGAGCACACAAGCAAAGAGAAGGCTGTTTCCATGTTTTTCCTGCATAATAGTGCAGGCTGGACCATAAACAGCTTCACTGGCCAACATTAATTGGTTCCAAACCAAGTAATGCTTCATCCAATCCAGCCTCAATTGCAGATTGAACAAAAAGGGGACAGGTTGATGACACGTTCCTTAAGCAAGACACCATTGGAAAACAATCCATACAAGATAGGCTTCCCCAGCTGCCTTCAGCTTTGACAAGCAGCCCAAGCATTGGATCAACCTGCTAAATTAAGCTACTGAAGCAACTCATTCTTCCCAAGCAACTGACTTTGTCCTCCCCCCACCCCTGCCCCCCAGGCTTGCTTCGAACAGATCTTGATGGCTGAGTATTTCCATATGAGACTCTACAAAGTTGAAGGAGGCTGGGGTAGATGTGATAATCTTCAGACATCAAGAAATGACTTCAGTCACACATTGGTTTAAGGAAACCTGATCTTGTACACTGCACTAGTTCACATTTCTCAAGAGTGAAGCTACACCGTCAATTGCACAAGCATTCAAAAGATGTCATGGAATTCAGGCTACCAGCACCTGAAAAGTTTTGGAACTTTTCAGTGGAATCTGGCTGACATGTTGCTTACATATATGAAAACTATAGACTTATGCTATCTCAGCTGTTAGCAACTTCACATCCCCCAAGACAAAAACTATCAAGCATCCTATGCAGATTTACAAAACAAAAAACAAAAAACAAAAAAAAAGGAAACAAGAATGCCAAAGGAAAATAGCCACACACATGAAATCCTTCTGCCTGAACTCATTGTATACTGCTGTTTTGGAATGGAAATAGCTGGAATTTTTAGATGAGACTTTAATACTCTTCCAGCTTCTCAACCCCTGCATTCAGTTGTATCTCAAAAGCTTTTATGCATCCCTGTTGGTTAAGCCAACAATGCAAAAACTCAAGCTAAGCTCAGCCTAACTGGAAGTACTGTAAAAAGACCATGTTTCATCTTTCTAGTCCCACCCATTCCCCTAATCTGCTGATTGTTTCCCAGCTTTTGTGCTATGTTTCCACCATTCCAGAACAGATGAAATGCCTCTCCCAAGGTTTAGTTACTGGCAGTTAATTTAAAGCTGAAACATTCTGGTACCTCAGTGTTGGTGGGCTAAAATATCTCTAAAATGGAATTTGGAGGTTCAGCATGGCCTGTGGTTAAGCATTTTTAAAAATTATTTCTATAAACACTGTTGCCCACTTCCCTAGAATTTACAATGGGTACTTAAGTACAGTAGTAAAGACAGAGTTTTTGAGAAGAAGCAACACATTCTTTAAAATTATTTAATTATACACCTTTCCAGTAATAAGCATAATAGACAATAGAATAGATTGCCATCATTCAATTATTTACACCTTTTCCCCTTTAGCTTCAAAACAGACCATTAAAGAGTTTATGCAGCAGTATCTCTTCTTTTAGTGGGATGATGCTTTTGTTGTTTGAACTGTCCAGCTGAAGTTGCTTTATGGAAGAATTGTTTCTTCCATGGTGGTTTTAAAAATGAAGCAGTGAGCTGGAGTTCTAAAAATACTGGGATCAATACAAAATGATGCATATGGATTAGAAACTGAATCCCTTTCTCTCTGCTGGCACTGTGAGACCAACACAAGTAGTGTTAGGACAGCTTCACACCAATTTTATTTTGCTCTTTCTTCATTAAACGTTGAGCTTCTTTCTCCAGTTTCTTCCTTTGTTGCTCAGCTGCTCTTTTTTCCCTTTCAGCTATTTTCTGCTGCCTACAATTTCATAGACAGAAAAAAAATAATTAAATTGAAAGCCATGCTCTTTGTCAGACTGCCTTTGAAAGGTCACACAGTCATTTCCCAAGCTTGTTTGTTTTTACCAAGTACTAAGTAATACCACCTGATTCTTCTCTAGTCTCTTTCATGTAGCATATACATATACTCCCATACCATGATCTCTGGCAAATGAACAGTAAGTAGCTACAGGTGAAAGCACAGAAGGCAACACAAAGTGGTTTTTTAAAAATGAAATTGCCAGTGTCTTCTAAATAACCAAGTAAAAACTGCTTACCTGAACCTTCTTAATAAGACATAACCAACCTTTTGTTAAGTGACCATGCATATGTATTCTTACTTGACATAGCGATGTGTGGCTGGATTAGACAAATATTCAGCCTAGTCCAGTATGCTTCATAAGAATTCCAGTAAGCAACAGGGACTAGATGGCCCAGCCTTCTATATAGAATTGCCCTCAGGAAGCTTAAATTCTATCCAGAAATGGTTTTACACTAATATTTAAAGAATCTGAAACAACCACCTGCCTTGTATGTGACAATGAACAGGATTTTCTTGTTTTTCTTGTTGCTCACCCTACACTTTACAAAGTTAATCCTATACCACTCTAATGGCAGAAAGTGAAGAGGAACTAAAGAGCCTCTTGATGCGGGTGAAGGAGGAGAGCGCAAAAGTTGGCTTGAAACTCAACATTAAGAAAACTAAGATCATGGCATCCGGTCTTCTCACTTCCTGGCAAATAGATGGGGAAGAAATGGATGTAGTGACAGATTTTATTTTCCTGGGCTCCAAGATCACCACAGACTAGGACTGAAGCCAAGAAATTAAAAGACGCTTGCTCCTGGAGAGGAAAGCTATGGCAAATCTAGACAGCATACTAAAAAGCAGAGACATCACCCTGGCGACAAATGTGCTTATAGTCATGCTATGGTTTTCCCAGTTGCAATGCATGGCTGTGAAAGCTGGACCATAAGGAAGGCTGAGTGCCGAAGAATTGAGGCCTTTGAATTGTGGTGCTGGAGGAGACTCCTGCGAGTCCCTTGGACCACAAGGTGATCAAACCGGTCAGTCCTAGAGGAGATCCACCCTGACTGCTCTTTAGAAGGCCAGATCCTGAAGATGAAACTCAAATACTTTGCCCACCTAGTGAGAAAGAAGAACTCACTAGAGAAGAGCCTAATGCTGGGAACAATTGACGGCAAAAGAAGAAGGGGACAACAGAGAATGAGGTGACTAGATGGGAGTCACTGAAGCAGCTGGCGTGAGCTTAAGTGGACTCTGGGGGATGGTGGAGGGCAGGAAGGCCTGGAGGAATGTTGTCCATGGGGTTGTGATGGGTCGGACACAACTTTGTGACTAACAACCCTTTAATTATATTGTAAGACAATGCAGATTTCAACTGAGCATTCCTTTATTTGGTTTAGGACAGCACTCTCCCGCCACCGCAAAATACTTGTATTTGATTAATTGTAATAATTAAATCTTATGTCCATGTTTTCAACCATGCAACCATTGTTCAGCCACAGCTCTCATCATCTTCAACCAACATGACTAATAGTCAGGGATAAGAGATGGAATCCAACACCATGTGGGAAGTCAAGACTGGGAAAGACTCATGAGCAAACGAGTTATCTATCCATCTAACCCACTACATTACCTGATAGGGTTCCCTGAGTGGGTTACAAAACTAAATCTACAGATGCATCTCCACAAAAAAACAAAAAACAAAACAAAACATTCCATAATTTGGAGTAGCATTAAGTGAAATCTTTAAAAAAATAATCAAATTTCATATTTGACTGTGTCATGGAAAATATCCCATGAAATGTCTGGTATTATCTTGAACAGGCAATACACTTCAAAAAACAGGTGG